GTGTGTGTGTGTGTGTGTGTGTGTGTGTGTGTGTGTGTGTGTGTGTGTGTGTCAGGCAACATGTGCTTCTCGTGATGGGACTTGACACCACCTCCTTAGAGCTTCGAGGAGCAACAAAGTAACGAGCCTTGCAGGAGAAACAGTTTCGCTCTTTCTGCAAATTACGCTCTAATCCACTAAAATGGCCTTTATGTAATATGTGACTTTTTGAAGATGGCTCTTATTCTGAGAGAAAAAATCTCTACTCTGCATGTACGTTTACAAAAAATCTAAATTTCTCCACAGATTAGTTGTCTTGACTTGAGTGCAGGTTTCTGTTAAGCCACTTTAACCTCTGTAACATACTGTGTGTCCAGAACTTTACTTTTCAACGCTTAAAACCACATTTTCTGTTTAGGGTTAATGGGGAGAGTTATGGCATTCTTAAAAGAGAACTAAAAAAAAMAACTAACTAAAAACAGAAAAATATTTCAGATCAGTTGTAGAGTTATGGGAAACCTTTTATCTGATCAGTACTTTGGTCAMGCTATGCTGTTTTAAGGGGGACATATGCAAAATCCACATTTTCACAAATAAAATTCCTTAGTCTGTAGTTGAATTRTTTCGTTTTTAGGCCTCATATWTAAGAAAAATTATCATTTGATGATACAGTAATAAGGTAAGAACTCTATGTGAATCAAAAGAAGTATGCACTTTCAAAAAGAGATGTTTTTATGGCTGTCGAGCAGTTTATGCTTCAACTTGTTATGTTCTTGTGTCTACATATCAATATTTATGTCAATATCTTGGACCTGAACTGACCAGCCTCTGGCTCTTTAATTCAGTCAAAATTAAATTAAATTTCTCCAAACTGAGATTGTTCAAATAGCTATCTACAGCAGGTAAGATATTGTTTGCTCATAACCTCCCATTTCAGAAAATCTAATTGCTTTTAAGGAGTTGAAGATGTTTACCGATATAATGCATTGTTTAATGCTGGGCTGAATGAAACAAGATGGCAGCAGCAGAGGTGGTGGCAGGTGCAGCAGTGATAAATCATYGGAGCCATCACCTCTCTGAGCCTGAGGTGTTTGCAAATGAACGTTAGTGCAACACAGGTCAGCTGAGCTGCAGCTTTATATCCATGTAGTGGTGCAAAGTGGAGAAATGGAGGTTAGTTTTGTGCCTTCAGGTTTGCATTAAGTTTCTTTTGTGTGTGTGTGTGTGTGTGGGGGGGGAGGTTACTGTAAATTTGCTAATAATAAACAGCATATTGGAACATGTCAATAATAAAAATCAGCCCAACTCCAAACTTGTCTTGACCCTAAACTTCCCTCTGCGCAGTGACCTCATCCAAGTGAAAAACCTGACAGGTGTGGCACCCATAGGCCTTTTTTTCCCCACTGAAAACGCAGGGGTCGACACCTGTGCACGCGCACGCACGCTCACATATGACTCATCTCATCCTAACTGAAGCACTTTTTCAGAGGCGTCCATTCACGTTCCACCCAGGCAGGGACGCGCAGACTCAATCTGGGCTCGGAGCGACGCACTTGTATAGCGACGGCGGCTATATAAGTCCCATTCAGCTTCTCCTCTTTAAGGAACTATATGCGTGTTTCTGTGAAGGAGGGCGGCATCTCACCGAATACCTGGCAACCTACACCGCTGTAGGCTACTTGACTACCTGTACGGAAGGTATGGAAAGCTTTGTGTTGTACTAGCTTTATTATTTTTTAATTTACTCTCCTTTTTTATCAATACGCATCTCTCTTTCAAAACAAATTTAGCTTAGATTATTCCAAACCTTCAGAAACACATATGCACTTTATCAATTGGATATATGTCCTTTTACATGTTGTGAATTTTGTTTATCATTATCACACATATATTGATCAGAGGCAAAACACTTTCAAATTTAGAAGTAAATCAGAATTTACGCGCAGATATTCTTCATTTCGTCACCCCATCACTTGACCTAGTAGCATTATTTTTAAAATAAAGTGGCAACGAATCATGAAATATTAACATATTTCACACCAAAGATAAGTTGCGTTCCTGTGCCACTGTGGAAAGACATGCGTTGCGCTGCGTAAAACGACTTTTACGCATTTGGCACAAAGGCTACAAAAGACGAGCATTGATCAGAATCGTTTGTCTCCATTTCCCCCCACTTTTTTCTTTTTCAGATTCCAGCTGATATCCTGACATGAAGCTCAACTTATCAGGAACCACCGTGATTCTGCTTGTTGCCTTCTTACCGCGCTACGAATGTCGGGCTATTGAGAGCCCAGGCGGCACCCTGCGCGTCCCAGCTCCCCAAACCCAAAACTCCCAGCAACAGCAGTCTGGTCCCATTCTGGAGCGCCTGGGAGAGGAGTATTTCATCCGACTGGGAAACGGGGACTCGAACTCTTTCCCGACAGCGTCCTTGTACCCCGGCGCGTCGCCTTCCATCTTCAACAGAGCGTTGCAGCTCCAGCAGACGCGGCGCCTCTTGCAGGGGAAAGTTGGGAACATCCGGGCGCTCATAAGCGGCTTAGCGGATCGCGATGACGAGTCCATGGAGCGGGGAAGACGGTCCGAGGACCCGCCGATCTCCCTGGACCTGACCTTCCACCTGCTGCGGGAGATGATGGAGATGTCCAAGGCGGAGCAGCTGGCCCAGCAGGCGCAGAACAACAGAAGAATGATGGAGCTGTTTGGGAAGTGAAAACCTCTTTCCAGCCCGCCAAAGATCTCAGTTCCCTTCGTTCTCTCTCTCTCTCTTTTGTTCCCTTTGGTTCTGCATTTATTAGCACACTCAAGAAAAAAAACAACAACATACGTGCAAATATAGTGCTGCTTATTTTTCATGTCACTTATAGCTTTAACCTGAAAACAATGAAACACAAATGCTCCGACTGTCATTTTAATGTTGGTGTCAAATTTGTAGAGTTCATATTTCAGGAGGCATATTTTTGTTCTAAAAAATGTCATGAAAAAAATCGTATTTTGTTTTAAACTCTATGAATCACTGTATTTATGATATTTATGTTTTTTAATAAACTTATGTGCAAACAGAAAAAAAAATCTGTTGTGCAACAGAACGTCTTACATCTATATTTTTAATAAAACAAATATAAGCAACGCTTACACTTCTCTGTCAATATCCTTACATATAAAAACACCAATAAAAATTGCTCATCTAATACACTTATCGTGTTTCTTTTTAGGTGCATTTATAATCCTAGATAATAAAAAGTAAACAGGTTCACTGCATTTGGCCAAAACTGATATTTAAAAATAGACAACAGTGCGGAAACTGTCAACTTTGTGCAGAGAAAATACAGTTTTTTATGGCAAAGAAACACACAAAAACATAGTTGCATCAGATGTAAAGCAATGTCCTTTAGGAGCTCCAGCTGACGCAGGCTGGATGCAGCTTTTTTTCTTCTTCTTCAACATTAATCCTCAAGAGGCAGTCCTCATTATAACAAGACGTGTTTCTAAGATGCAACACTAATAATAAGTGTGAAATACTCTATATGTGTGTGTGTGTGTGTGTGTGTGTGTGTGTGTGTGTGTGTGTGTGTGTGTGTGTGTGTGTGTGTGTGTGTTTTGATCTTTGACCTCCAGAGTCAGGCTACTTAAACAAACACTGTGTGGAGTGAGTCATCCTCTTCTGTTTAATATAGGAGCTCAGCACCGCATTGGGTCCTTTTGTAAAGGATCCAACTGACTGAGTGAAGCTGTGCCGCCACTAGATGAGAGTCAGGCATGAACTAAATGAAGTTCCAGCAGAGTGAGAACACGCTGCAGTCTCCYGTGTGGATATTTTGCAGGTAAAAGTATCTGAGAAATGCGTCCAGCTGGAATAAATGCCAACAAAGTGAATAAGTGGCAAAGATCCATCTATTCGAAGGACTCAAAGAAATGCACCTCCTTATATCGATAACATAAAGAATATGTTGTAAAGTGGAAAAAGAAATGTTTAATCTAAAGAATGCAACGAGCAGCAGGATTTTTTTTTAAAATGCCAGAGTGATCTTTTCGTCGCTCTCTTATAAAAAAATACGATCATGACGAAAAGTTTGACTGTTGTGGCATCTGATGATGCAGGTYTAAGCAACCAGTTGCAAAAAAGGTCATCGACATAAAAAATGTATGAGCACATCTGGGAAACGGCCTCGGCGTCGTTAATTCTGTCCAAAATGAAAAGGACAAATTAAAAATCATGAATATTAAATCAGATAAAAGGAAATGAGATCAGTCAGAAGTGATGTGGACTGATGGGGCGCTACGGTCTCCTTTCTTTAGATCTCCCCTACTCTGGGCTCAGGCGTCTCGTTTTGGCACAGCTCTCACAGTCTAAACGTATCACAGCTGACGTGGAATCAACAAGGAGAAACAGTCCCCCCCCCCTCCTTTTTTTGATCAAAGTGTTGTTTGAGTGGGAGGATGATGCTGGGGGGCAGAAACCACATCACCTGCCGAAACAATCTGAGCCTCTTCTTTTGCCTCTGCATCCTCGTCCTCATCGTCCTCGTCTGAAAGAAGGAAGTTGCAAATAAAAGTCATAAAGCAGCAGAGATGACTTTCAGCCATTAATCGTCGCTGGTATTTTACCTTGGATGAAATCGATGGTGCGCAGGGCCTTGCGTTCCTTCCTGAAGTCAACTTTGTAATGATCCATTTTCTCATAACCTCTCTCAATTTGATCAAGATGTGCAGTACTGGACGCATCTGCAATCCTGGGCGGATGATGATGTAATATTGTACATTCAGAAAGGGGAAGGAAAAAAAAAAATCCAGCCTCGTGTGTTTAAATTAAACACTTTTTCAAAAATGTATTTATACATCTGTGACATTCAGCACATTTAGCGAGTTATTTTAGGACGCTGCAGCACAAGGTAGCGACATTGCACAGAATTAGTTTTCACATCGGGTGTGACGTCGTCACAACAGTGTCGGAGCAGATGTGGATCTGTTAAGTCATTCATAAAAAACGTCTCTAAAACTATTAAAGGGCACAGAAAGAACGAAGCTGCGCCCACGTCTTATGATACTCACTTTTTAAGGAGGGGCTTTGTGTTCTGAAAGAGACCAGACAAAGTTAGTTTCAGATTTTTCACTGTACGTTCAAATCTCAAACTTCACTCCTGACCTGAAGGAACAAAGCCATCTCGGCTTCCTCCATCGTCTGAATCCCCATCTCCACTATCTTGCAGCTTTCCTCCAGGTGGTCGCTGTATTTCCTCGTCAGGCTTCGGATATAGTTCACCTTCTCTTCCTGCTCGGCCGTCACCTTCTGACTCATCTCCCTTTTCTTTGCTTCCAGGACAGAGTACAGCTGGTCGAACTTCTCACACACCACAGTTTTCTGCCTCCTGCCATTCTCCTGTGCATGCAGGCGTGACAAACGGAAGATACAGTCAGTAAGCACACATGTGGGCAAGAAACATGGAACATTAAAGGGCAGTCCTTTATCATGGAGCATTAAGTGGAATACGCTTATGCAGACTATAGATTATTAAACACAATATACCAAAACTCATTCTACATGTTCAATCTGGACACACGGAGAACTGGAATCAGCCCATTTTTCTCTGCACTATGTCTAACTGTGACACACAAACCAAGGTAAAAGCTGCCTGTTCTCTCCTCCCATCATTGATGCTGCTTTTTTTCATCATCAGTGCAACAGGGAGGAGAGAGAATCAGGTATTTGAGAAAGGAACACACACACACAAAAGTCAGTAGAACAGAACACAATGGCACCAAAACATCAATTTTCCTCTCCTTCCTTTTGCGTAACCCCCCTCACAGCTGACACTGAAAAAAGCACAGAGACTGTGACCCCGATGAGGAGCCATTAAAGCAGTTTGCATTGTTTGTCTGTCCAGGTAAGTAGGTGGATGCACAGATTGAGGCTCGCTGCCTAAGTGAGCGGCCAGGCGCTGCTGCAGTCAGACTCTGACCTCTACGGCTCGACAGGCTTCCTCCAGCTGACTGATGATGCCTTGAATCCGGTCGTTGTTTCCAACCATCATGGCAATCCCGTCACTGAGCTCCGTCTAACCAGAAAGACACAACCGACTGATTGTTGGCTTAAAGCAAAACTTCAGATCTTTTGTAGCGAGGATCTGTGCACAACTTATTAACAGTTGATATCTTACCTGTTGTAGACAGATCCTTCTGTGAGAAAAATCATTTAATTCTGGCTGAATTAATGAGCTAACGGCTAGTCAAAGTCGGGCTGAGACCAAACTGGATTGCTGCTGTCTTACATCAACTCAGAGGGAGCATCAACCCTGACATAATGCTTTAAAAATAGTCTGAACTACTGTGAGATTTTTGAGGTTGAAGTTGTTTTAAGATGCGAGTAAGCTTTGCTCTTTGAGTCTTGGCTTGTCTATTTAGTTAGATGTTAAATCGGGAATGGACAACTGGCCACAATCAGCCCGCTGGTGTCTTCCATCCAGCCCACCAAAGAGGTTCCCCCACTAATTTATTTTTTGACTTAAAAAAAAGCTATTAAAACATCTCGTAGATTAAATTTTGAAAATTACAAAAATGTATAAAAGTGTCTCAGTGGCACTGAAATGATTGTGACACACGTCCTTTTTACCAGTGAGGAAGAGACGTTTAGCCACRGCTAAAACTTAGATAAAATCACGTTTCAGGTGAAATGTGAGGTAGACTATATGTTCACAGAATTTCAAGGCAACCCTGTGTTTATTCTTCTTAGAGACGCTGCCTGCCATGAAGGATTTTTATATAAGACACGTAATTTAACATGTTTCACAAAGCTAAATTTGAGAAGTTTACTGAAGTCGCAAATTCGTAAACAGAGATTTTTTAGCAGAACCACGCAGGAGCCTGACAGCCGGTTTGGWTGTTATCAGTCCATTAAATGGACATTATTAGTGGTTATCAGTCCCATAGTATGGCTTCAGACTGTCCCAACAGCGCCCCCTAGTGGATTACCAGTGCCATATTTGTTGGAATGCAACAATCTGCAACTGTGGGAGTCTGATCTACTTTATCGTAGCCCATGTCATTTTCTCTAAAATTAACCTTAGTGCAGGGGTGTCAAACTCCAGTCCTCGAGGGCCGCTATCCTGCATGTTTTAGAGGTTTTCCAGCTCCATCACACCTGATTCAGT